CACATCTAGGGCCGCCATCCTCTTCACATCTGGCTCTTCCCGGTACCTGCATACGTCCCCGGAGGCTTCCTCTGCCACTGGTGGGCCTGCTCGGAGGTCGTGACCTGGCCCGGGTCTGTTACAAGTCCATCCCCACCATCAGGGCCCTGGTGAAAGCACATCCCGGCTTAGACCCCACACACTCTGGGTAGGTCTGTCAGTTGGCAGCCTGAGGCACCACCTGACGGATCATAACAGTACCTTGCGGCCATGACAGAGCCAGGAAGTGGACCGGCGTCCCCTAGAGGATAATTGCCAGCACCTTGCAACTTTGACCCAAGCTTTCCAGAATTTCCACAGTCGCTGCGCCCGACTTGAGGACCGCATGGAGTCGTTAGCCACCCTGACTCCCCCTGCTCAGAGTCCTCCAACTGCAGAATCATCCCCCTGCTTCTCCCGCAACTGACACCCCGAGGGTGGGTGGGGGACCTGCCCGGCATCCGGAGCAGTTGCCGCGCCCCTAGCTCCCTGAACCCCGCGTTCCCCTGCCGGAACGATTTCCGTGGAGACCGAAGCCGCTTCCGAGCCTTCCGGAAGGCCTGCACCCTGTATTTTGACTTGCAGCCCCGCACGTTCACCACCGAGACCGTCAAGGTGGGGTTTATAGTCTCTCTCCTTCAGGATGAGCCCCAGGATTGGGCTCACCGTCTGATGGAGAAGCACGATCCCCATCTTGATTCCGTGACCGAGTTCTTTCAGGCCATGGCTGTGTTGTATGACGACCCTCAGCGGGCTGCTTCCGCAGAGGCTACCCTATGCTCTCTACGGCAAGGGCCGCCGGGCTGCCGAAGAGTACGCGTCCGATTTTAGGCGTTGCATGGGAGATACCAGATGGAACGATGCGGCATTATGTCACCAGTGCCGCATCGGGCTGTCTGAGTCTCTCAAAGATGAACTAGCACGAGTAGGCCTACCTGACTCCCTGGAAAAACTGATTGAGTTGGCCATTCAAATTGACCGTAGACTAAGGGAACGTCGGCTGGAAAGGAGCAGCCAGGGTCAAAGGGTGGCATGGATTCCACCGAGAGAAACAGCTCCAGCCCCAGGGAACCATACCCGAAACGCGGAACCAGGGGACACCCCGGAACCCATGCAACTGGGCCCCCGTTCCCACTTATCGGTCGAGGAACGTCAGAGGAGACGATCACAGAACCTATGTCTGTACTGCGGGGAAGCTGGTCACCAGGTGCGCTCCTGTCCTGCAAAAATGAGTAAGTCCGCTTCCTTTTCTTTTACTTTACCTGCAGGAAGGGGTGATCAGTCAAGTTACCTGGCCATACCTGTGTCTTTACAGCTCCCCGGAGGAACATTGTCGGTGACCGCAATCGTTGACTCAGGAGCATGTAGTTGTTTCATCGATCTGACTTTTGCCCACCGGCAAAAAAATCCCTCTCCAGACCAAAGAAAGGGGGGTTCAACATCTTCTTGGCAGATGGGTCCAGTATAAAATCAGGGGTGGTGGACCAGGAGACACCTCCCATTTTTACCACGATGGCAGACCATCTCCAGGAGTTCCTCCTTTTGGATGCCATCGCATCCCCCCTTTTTCCAGTCATTCTGGGGCTCCCTTGGCTGCAGGCCCATAACCCCCAGATTGACTGGGAAAAGGGAACAGTTCAATTTCGGTCACCTTACTGTCTGAGTCACTGCCACGTCACAGGATCCGTGGTTCCCCGTTCCTCCTGTGCTTGGATGGCGATACCGATCTATCCCAGGTTATTCCTCCGGCCTACCATGACTTTTCAGTAAGCGAGGAGCTGACATTCTTCCTCCGCACCGTTCATACGATTGCCCCATAGACCTCCTACCCGGATCTGAAATCTCGTATGGCCGTATCTTCCTTTATCAGAAATGGAATCGGGAGTACTGAGGGAATATATTGACGAAAACCTTCGGAAGGGATTTATTCGCCCATCCACATCCCCAGCCGGGGCCGGGTTGTTCTTCGTAGAAAAGAAGGACAAGTCGTTACGGCCCTGCATAGACTACCGTGATCTGAATAAAATAACGGTAAAGAATCGCTATCCCTTACCCCTAGTCCCCGAGCTCCTCCAGAGATTGAGGTCCGCAATGATATTCACTACATTAGACCTGCGGGGGGCATATAACCTTGTTCGTATCAGGGAGGGGGATGAGTGGAAGACGGCTTTCCGTACGAGATTCGGTCACTTTGAGTATTTGGTGATGCCGTTCGGGCTCTGTAACGCACCGGCCACCTTCCAACATTTTATCAACGATGTCTTTCGTGATTTCCTCGATTTTTCGTGTTGGTTTATTTGGATGACATCCTAATTTTTTCTCCCTCACTGGAGGTTCATCGAAGTCACGTGTTACGGGTGTTAGAACGGTTGCGTCAACACGGGCTATACGCCAAGGCAGAAAAGTGCTGTTCGAACAGCGCGAAATCACGTTCTTGGGACTGGTTCTCTCTTCTGCGGGGGTCGCGATGGATTCCTAGAAAGTCACGCCGATAAAAAGGGGGTACAGCGTTTCATCGGCTTTTCTAACTTTTATAGAAAGTTTGTTAGGAACTTCTCCGGTCTGGTCTCCCCAATCACGCAACTGACGAAACAAGGGGTCCGCTTTAAGTGGACTCCCGAAGCTCAGACGGCATTCGAAAAGCTCAAGAAATTGTTCACCTCTGCTCCCATTCTCTGCCATCCGGATTCTTCTCTCCCATATGTTTTGGAAGTGGACGCCTCCGAAAACGTGGTAGGAGCGGTTCTGTCCCAAAGGAATGGTACCAAGGGAACTACTGCATCCTGTGGCGTTCTTCTCCAGGAAGCTGACGCCGGCGGAACGAAACTATGACATTGGAGATCGGGAGCTCCTGGCTATTAAATCCGCTCTAGAAGAATGGAGGTATTTACTGGAAGGAGCCACACACCCAATCCTAATATTCACAGATCACAAAAACCTCGAATATTTAAGAACGGCAAAACGACTGAGACCTCGCCAGGCGAGATGGGCTCTTTTCTTTTCTCGGTTTATATTCCATATAACGTACCGACCCGATTCTAAGAATACAAAACCAGACGCTCTGTCCCGCATGTTTGAGGACCCCGACGATGCAGTGTTACCTGACACCATCTTACCTTCCGGAAGCTTCCTCGCTCTACAAACGGAACTTCGCTCCAGACTTCTCAATGCTTCTGTAAGACTGCCAGTTCCGTCTGGGTCACCTCTCCAGAACCGCGGTGGGCTATTTTGGAAGGAAGACCGGATCATGGTCCTAGAAGAAGTTCGAACCTTGGTCCTGGGGCACTGCCATGACCATCCAATAGCGGGTCACTTCGGGGTTACGAAAACTCTGGAACTACTACAGCGCTCGTTCTGGTGGCCAGACATGATCAAGGACTGCGAGCGTTACGTCCAAACCTGTCCCACCTGCCAAAGGAACAAGCCCTCCAGGAGCAGGGCATGGGGATTGTTACGTCCATTGCCTATACCCAAGCGGGCCTGGCAAATGATAGCCATGGATTTTGTGGTCGAACTCCCACCATCCCAAGGCTACACAGCAATAATGGTGATCGTCGACCGCTTCTCAAAGATGGCACATTTCTTACCCCTGGAAAAGACCCCATCGGCACCAGAAACGGCACGGATCTTCATTAAGGAAGTAGTGAGGCTTCATGGGGTCCCCGAAGATATAGTGTCAAATCGGGGAGTCCAGTTCACCTCCAGGTTCTGGAACGCCTTATGTAAAGCGCTGGGAATCAAGCTGTCGCTTTCATCCGCTTACCATCCTCAGACCAACGGCCAAACAGAGAGGACCAACCAAACGCTAGAACAGTACCTAAGATGCTACACATCCTACCTTCAGGATGACTGGCTGACGTTGTTGCCTTCCGTGGAATTTTCATACAACAACTCGAATCACTCAGCTACGGGACAATCCCCGTTCTTTTCCAATTACGGTATCATCCCACATTCCTCCCTGATCTGATGCCTGAAAATCCGGTACCTGCGTCTCAAGACATCTTGAACTTCTTTTCTGTCAATAACAAAACGATTCAGGAGGCCATCGCAAAAGCCCAAGAGGACAGTAAAAGGGCGTTCGACAGGAAAAGAAGAGGAGAGTTACTGCTTCAACCGGGGGATCAGGTTTGGCTGGCTACGACCAACTTGAAGATGCTGTGTCCTTCGAGGAAGCTAGGACCTAAGTACATTGGCCTGTTTCCGGTTAAACGAGTAGTCAACGAGGTGGCCTACGAACTCGAGCTTCCGCGAACCTTCAAGATACATCCTGTGTTCCATGTGTCTCTCCTGAAACCATCCAGACCAGATCCCTTCCCGGACCGTGAATCCGGACCTCCCGAGGCAGTCACCATAGGTGAACAGGAGGAATATGAAGTGGAGACTATCCTCCTCAGTTGCCGAAAGAGGGGGGGCCAGACACAGTTCCTGATAAAATGGAAGGGTTATTGCCCTGAGGAGAACTCATGGGAACCCACCCAGAACATTCATGCACCCAGGCTCATCCGGGAATTCTTTCGTAGTCACCCGCGGTGGAGAGATCAGTGAGGCTCCCGGAGGGTGCCCATGGGGGGGGGGCAATGTCAGGGATCGCGGCTCCAGGGTCAGGGATCGCGGCTTCTCTCCCCGCGCATGCGCACTGGCGGCAGATCACGCCGGGACACAGGCACTAGGTCCCGGCGAGCTGCAGCTGACAGGACGCCGCGCATGCGCAGTAGGAGCCGAGGTCGCGCCTCAGGCGTCCAATGACAGCCGGGGTGCGTCCTGGCCGGCCAATGACAGTGCAGGGCGCACTATTTAAAGATGCCCTGCACTGCCACAGATTGCCGCAAGGTCTATCTGTGATCCTGAGTTCCTGTATCCATTCTAGTGACCCTGATTGCCCTGACTACGCTGCCCTTCTCCTGTGATTTGACCTGGATTGCCCTGACTACGCTGCCTTCTCCTGTGATTTGACCCGGATTGCCCTGACTACTCTGCCTTCTCCTATTTCTGACCCCTGGCTTGTCTGACCATTCTGCGGACTGACTTACCCTGCTGATCCTGCGTGTGACCTGACTACTCTTTGCCCGCCGATTCGGTACCCCGCTTACCCCCCCACGGGACCACGGTCTGTTACCATCCTGCTAGGGCCGCCATCCTCTTCACATCTGGCTCTCTCCGGTACCTGCATACGTCCCCGGAGGCTTCCTCTGCCACTGGTGGGCCTGCTCGGAGGTCGTGACCTGGCCTGGGTCTTTTACAAGTCCATCCCCACCATCAGGGGCCCTGGTGAAAGCACAGCCCGGACTTAGACCCCACGCTCTGGGTAGGTCTGTCAGTTGGCAGCCTGAGGCACCATCTGGCGGATCATAACAGGTGTATTGTAACACTGAGAGACAGAATAGCAACAAAAAAAATCAAAAGAAATGCATGTCTAACAAATTATGCACTGATTTGCATGTTCATGAGGGAAATACGTATTTGATCCTCTATCATTCAGCAGGATTTCTGGCTACCAGGTGTCTTTCATACAGGTAACAAGTTGAGATTAGAAGCAGTCTCTTAAAGGGAGTACTGCTAATCTTATTTTGTTACCTGTATAAAAGACACCTGTCCACAGGAGCAATCAACAATCAGATTCCAAAATCTCCACCATGGCAAAGACCAAAGAGTTGTCCAAGGATGTCAGGGACAATATTGTAGACCTGCACAAGGCTGGACTAGGCTACCAAACTATCGCCAAGCAGTTTGGTGAGAAGGTGACTACAGTTGGTGCAATAATTCGCAAATGGAAGAAACACAAAACAATTGTTAGTCTCCCTAAGTCTGGTGCACCATGCAAGATCTCACTTCGTGGAGTGTCAATTTTCATGAGAACAGTGAGGAATCATCCCAGAAATACACGAGAGGATCTTATCAATGATCTCCAGGCAGCTGGGACCACAGTCACCAAGAAAACAATTGGTAACACATTACATTGCATTGCCCTCTGCTCAAGAAAGCACATGTCCAGGCCCGTCTGAAGTTTACCACTGAACATCTGAATGATGCAGAGGAGGACTGGTTGAAAGTGTTGTGGTCAGATGAGACCAAAATCGAGCTCTTTGGCATCAACTCAACTCGCCGTGTTTGGAGGAGGAGGAATGCTGCCTATGACCCCAAGAACACCATCCCAACTGTCAAACATGGTGGTGGAAACATTCTGCTTTGGGGTGTGTTTTTCTGCTAAGGGGACAGGACAACTGCACTGCGTCAAAGGAACAATAGGCGGGGCAATGTACTGTCAAATCTTGGGTGAGAGGATCTACCAAGAGGAGTGGGCCAAAATCCCTCCTGAGATGTGTGCAAACCTGGTGGCCAACTACAGGAAACGTCTGACTTCTGCGATTGCCAACAAGGGATTTGCCAACAAGTACTAAGTCATGTTTTGTGAAGGGGATCAAATACTTATTTCCCCCATGAACATGCAAATCAGTGCATAAATTGTTAGACATGCATTTCTTTTGAATTTTTTGTTACTATTCTGTCTCTCAGTGTTACAATACACCTACCATTCGATTTTTAGAGTGATCATTTCTTTGTGAGTGGGCAAACATTCCAAATCAGCAGGGGATCAAATACTTATTTCCTTTCACTGTATCAGTATGTGAGGCAGGTGTTACACAGAAAATGGTACAAGAATATTTAGCACCGAAAGCAAATGTAAAAGAATTGGTCAACTGCTGTCCACAGTTGCCAGTCAAATTATTTTAAAGTATGTTAAAGAGTGTCTAAACCCAACAGCAAACAAAAATGTAATAAATTGCATCTTACAAGTCCTTAGATGTGGTGGCTGCATTAGTTTTCTTTTATAGGCAAAGTACATTTTCTTCAAGTACAGAAAATACTTCTTAAACATATCAATAAACCAGTGTCCTTATACCTTCCTGTGCATCGAAATGAAATCTCAATGTTTTCAGCCCTCTCTTCCATGAACTACAACCCCCCACCCATGTTATGCAGAACAAGAGAAATAGAGGTGTTCTATAGTCCTTTCCTAGGATGACAGTGGTCCTCCTCCATAGAGAGAGTACATTGAGTGAGTGTTGTCACCCTAGGACAGAAGGTGTGCTGCTGGCAAGATCAGCAAATTAAATTTAAAAAAAGACTGAAAAAGAAAAATGAATGCAGTTAGCATAACTAAAGACTGTTAGGTTGCCATATGGTACCTTTTTGTTTTTGGGTTTAGATATACTTTAATGTGATCAAGACCTGGTGTGTAGCATACTTCACTAAGCAGGAGAATAGAACCCTCCTTCTTAGGCTCCATGCACACGGGGCATTTTAATAATGCTGGTAACGTTAGCTGTGTAAAGCCACATTAAAAACTTAAGTTTTTCAGCGTTTTTTTAGCATTTTTGTAAGAGTGTTTAGCCGCGTTTTTTCATGTTTGCGGTTTTTAGTGTTTTTTAGAGTTTGTTTTTTACCAAAAATAACCTTTTTTGGTTAAAGTCCAAAAAGGCTGGTTTGCCGCGATTTACCACGTTTTACCGCATTTTTCAGCATTTGAGCGTTTTTACAGCTAAAAAACTCCTCCAGAAACCCATTAGTTCTGTTTTTTCCAGCCAAAAAAACATTGATTACAGTCTATGTGTGCATGGATGCATAGGCTAACATGCTGGGGAGATTACTGGCTGTAGAAAAATACATCAAAGCCAAAAACAGCAGCTGGAAAAATGTTCAGTGTGCATGAGGACATATCAGGGAAAATCATAATGTGCTAGTATGCATTGCATACTAGCACATTATGAAAGACTTGCCTTAGATGAAAGCCCTACAGCGGCGCATTGTTACCACTGACAGGGCTTCCATCTTCCTTCCGGGTTCGCGGGCTGCGTCTGCTTGAATGGCCGAGCTGCGGCACACAGCTCTGAAGGAACAGTATGGGTATGCCTTTCCTTCAGAGCACATGCACTGGTAATGTCACCGGCTGCTGCTCTATGGAATATCTACTAAATGGTGCACATTTAGGAAATATTAATTTTCTCTACAGGTAAGCCTTATTATAAACTTGCCTGTAGGTAAAAATAGAAAACGAGAGTTTACTACCACTTTATAGGAGTAACTTTCACTATAAATCTTGGACTGCTGGTTGTTCTTGGTACCAAAATGCTGGTATGATGGGTTATCTTTACTGGCCTTCAATCTCTTGGGTGTGTTTTTGCCTGCCTTGCCATGAACATTTTACTTAAAACCAAGCTCCTTTAAGGTCCATTCATATTTCTGTTATGTACATTTTGAATGGTCTGTCAATATAATGTCTGTCAGTGCATTGCAAGGCATAAAAATTGCACCTGCAGAATTTTTTCCATTGCAGCACATCCCAACACACAAGAGCATTCATTTCTGTGCATTGTGGTGTTCTAAAATGCAGGTGTACTATGGTGGGCTGTTAATGTGCATTAGGCACTACTTAGAATGAATTGCAGGGCACCACAAAGCACATGTGCCCATTCGTTAACATTTTACCTTGCGGTACCACACCACAAATATGTGAATTTAACATTAGAGGTGGCCAGGAGCATCTTCAATTCATAGTGAAGGTAAAGGTATAACTAAAGCAGTGTTTCTCAACCTTCTTACTTTTGAGGAACCCCTGGCAAAATGTTTGAGATCTCGGGGAACCCCTGAAATAATGTTCACGTCTACAGCTCATGGAACTTTGGTATGATCAGCGAGCTGTTGATAATAACACCAATTATTTTTAGAAATAGCATTAAACAAAAGAATAAATATTAAAATGTACCTATTTAATGGGAAACGTATGCTTTTTCTGCAGAGATGCTCCATTCTGGCATTCTGGGTCTATCTTGGGATAAACAGCGTGTGTGTGTGTGTGCGGGGGGGGGGGGGGGGAGGTATTGCGGGCCTGGGCACAGGGACTCAGGATGGTACACTACATGAGGGGGAGGCAGGGCACATTACATGGAAGCAGGGAACATTATGTGGGAACAGGGCCCAATAAACAAGAGCAGGGCACATTCTATGGGACAGGGCTCTTTACATGTGACAGGGCACATTACATAGGACAGAGTACATTACTTGGGACAGAGCACATTACATTGGACTGGACACATTGTATGGAACAGGACACTTTACATGGGACAGGGCACATTACTTGGGACAGGGCACATTGTATGGGACAGGGCACATTACATGAGACAGGGCACATTACATAGGACAGGGCACATTACTTGGGACAGAGCACATTGTATGGGACATAGCACATTACTTGGGACAGGACACATTACATGGGACAGGGCACAGAGCACATTACATGGAACAGAGCTCTTTACATTGGACAGGGCAAATTACACAGGACAGAGCACATTACTTGGGACAGGGCACATTGTATGATACAGGGCACATTACATGGAACAGGGCACATGGCACATTACATGGGACAGGGCACATTACATAGGACAGAGCACATTACTTGGGACAGAGCACATTACATTGGACTGGACACATTGTATGGAATAGGACACATTACATGAGACAGGGCACATTACTTGGGACAGGGCACATTACACGAGGGAGGGCACATTACATAGGACAGAGCACATTACATGGACAGAGCACATTGTATGGGACATAGCACATTACTTGGGACAGGACACATTACATGGGACAGGGCACAGAGCACATTACATGGAACAGAGCTCTTTACATTGGACAGGGCACATTACACAGGACAGAGCACATTACTTGGGACAGGGCACATTGTATGATACAGGGCACATTACATGGAACAGGGCACATGGCACATTACATGGGACAAGGCACATTACATAGGACAGAGCACATTACTTGGGACAGAGCACATTACATTGGACTGGACACATTGTATGGAACAGGACACTTTACATGGGACAGGGCACATTACTTGGAACAGGGCACATTACATTGGATGGGCACATTATGTGGGACAGGGCTCTTTACATGGGACAGAGCACATTACATAGGACAGAGCACATTACTTTGGACAGGGCACATTACATGGGACAGAGCACATTACTTGGGACAGTGCACATTACATTGGACTGGGCACATTGTATGGGACAGGGCACATTACATGGGACAGAGCACATTACTTGGGACAGTGCACATTACATTGGACTGGACACATTGTATGGGACAGGGCACATTACATGGGACAGGGCACAGAGCACATTACTTGGGACAAGGCACATTACATTGGACTGGGCACATTGTATGAGGCAGGGCACAGGGAACATTACATGGGACAGAGCACATTACATGGGACAGGGC